AACTGAAGAAATGTACAGGGGGACATTTGAAAAAAAAAGTTGAGGTCACTTCCCGTCAAACAGGTGGTTGAAAAAAATTTTCGTTAAATTCGTAAAGTGCGCTACCAGCATTTATTATATAATGTCTCCTGTGTCACCCGTTATAAAAGTTATAAGCAAGCCAATAACAATGGTTTGGTTCATTGTACCAGTATATCACCTGACGAAGCACCTGTGTTAGCGAAACATGTTGTGTGTTTGAGAATTTTGTGGAAATCTTATCGTTTGTGAAGTTTTTACATCCTACTTGAATGACTGCAGCATTCGCCTATGGGTCATGCTGCAAACTTCATTCTCGTGGGAAATCACTATCATTTCGTGCTCGTTAAACAATTTTCCTACGACTACTATCGTAAGTATTGAATATTGTACACAAAACAATGTCAGTATGCTTCTCCACTCGCACAGCGTGCGAGCTATCGCACGATTGTCATGGGTATGTTGATAGATGACTTTGTTTTGTTGCTAAGGTGATGCGTCAATTTCAGTTAATGCATTGTCGTTATGAATGACAACCTAGTTAGGTGGTTAGTAGGCGAGAGCTATAATATAGATCGGGGTTAAGCCCATTGCCGAGATAACTCTTCAATGGGTGCCAGGGCATAAGGGAATTGAAGGCAACAAAGCAGCTGAAGCTCTTGCCATGCAAGGTTCTGCAACGTTGTTAATGGGGCCGGAACCTGTGTTTGGTATCCCCAAAACCTCAATACGCGGCTGGCTGGCAAGGTGGATGCAAGAAAGACATCAGGCATACTGGAACAATGTCCCAGGACAAAGACACAGTAAACTGATGGTTGGAACACTGTCCAAAACAGTGACTAACGACATTCTGAGCCTAAACAGGAGTCAGTTCAAACAAGTGACGGGACTAATAACCGGTCACTGCCCCTTGAGGAAACATATGCATCAAATGGGCATCTATACAGATGAACCCATATGCAGACTATGCAATGAGGAGGAGGAAACTGCCACCCATGTAATATTGGAGTGCGTAGCACTATAGCGCGTTGGAGATACAACCTTCTGGGAGCAGTAAACTCTCAAGAGGCATTTTCAAAGAATGATTTGGTGAAAAGGCTGCTAAAACTCATCAAGGTACCGAACCTGTTCACCTTAGTCAACAGCATGATCAGGAATACAATAGGCCCAAGGGCTGCAGTGTTTTGGGCTTCGAACCCTGACTGATCATTCTGCTATTAATCAATCAATCAATCAACCAAGCCCATTGCGCCTATTCTACCTGGTCTAATCCGGGTCTCAAAAGGACCCGGAATTTATGATAACCCACTTGCGCCCGGGATCGACCAGCCATTGAAATCACCATGACCCACTTGCGCCGATTGTCTTCACGGGAGACCCATTACATATTATTGAGCTATAGGATTGAGAAAATGGGAAGGGGGGACGATTTCTTGCACCTGTTTGAAACTGGCGCAACTGGGCTATGCCCTATAGATCATCATTGAAAAAAAAAATTATGGCAATCACAAGGTTGGTAGAACTGATGGTAAATTGTATAGAAAGGTTGCGACGATCAATAGTGCGGCAAGGGGGAAAACAGTTATTCGTGACGTCAAAGGCAGTCAGATGACAAGTTATCAACCTCGAAGCGAAATGTCATGGAATGTTGTTTACCAAATAGGTGTATAGTGAATTTTTTATGTTCTGGTTCCCACGAAAAGGATCGCATCGTGAGAACCAAGGGTACCTAATGAGGTAGGAATTAATGTTCTTCTCAAATTCCTGTAGGTTATATGCCTCAAGGCACACCTCCCTTGACTATGAGTTCCAGAGCCTCACTGTTCGTTGGATGAACGAGTCTTTGGTAAGAGATGTTTTGCAGGTCTCCATATTGACCACGAAGGGTTACGAAGCCTCAACTCGACGGGTCAATCTCGCGGGGACTGCCGAGGAAAGAACAATTGTTGATATTTCAGAAGAGCATCGTCCATGAAAATATCTATAAAATGGAGCCATATCGCCAAGTTTTTCACAGTGTTCTAGAGAAGTGAGTGATTTTGTGAACGAGGCATCACCCACGAGACGAATTGCCCTTTTTTGGGCAGAATCCAACAGTTTCAGGGAATGTTTGGGTACTGCACTCCAAATATGGAAACAGTATTATTCTAGGACGACAGATCGGATCTGTGCCTTATAGATCATAAGCAGCTGACTGGAAGTGAAAAAGCTCCTGGCCCGAAATAGAAAATCTAGTTTTTGGGATGCTAGCAATCGATCTCACGTTATTTTTTCGAGAAAGGTTATTGCTGATAGCAATACCAAGCATCGAGATGGATGTTTTCGAAGGTATGGTTACTCCTGATGAGCTTATCTTGGGCACAGTGAGATCGGATTTTCAAGAAAAAAGGCATGCCTGTGTTCTGTTTGCATTGATATCCACCAAGTTATAGGATCCCCATTCGAGAATTGTTGCCAAATCCATATTTATGTTGTCAACATTTCTCCCTCGTTCGTTTTTTATTTGCCTGGCTGGTATTGGAGCCCTGGAAGAGAAGGCGGTATGGAGGGTACTTTCATCTGCGAAGCTGTATACTGGACATGAAGTTGGTTTCAACAAATCGTTAATATGAAGTAGAAAAAAAAATAGTGTTGGTACTGAAATTGAACCTTGCGGAACACCAGAATATATGATAAGAGAGTCAGATGGAACTCCGTCGACCACTACATAGAGAGACCTGTTTGAGAGAAAACTAGCTAGCAGAGAACATAGCTGGGGAGGCAAGACATAAGATGGATGCTTGGCGAGGAGTCCGTGATGCCAGATTCGAACGAATGCCTTGGAGATATCAAGTACCACGGGTGAGGTTTCACTATATTTTTCAATAGATTGCTGCCATATAAGTGAGACGTAAGCGAGCAGGTCACCATTTGATCTCTGATGACGGAAGCAGAATTGCCTATCGTTGATAATATCTGAATGTTCCAGGTATTTCATGAGCTCGATGTTGATAGCTTTCTCCATGATCTTTGAAGTAATAGATAGCAGTGCGATCGGTCTGTAGTTACTAGGTAGGGTCTTTTCGCCTTTTTTAGAAACTGGTTGTACTCTTGCAATTTTCCAGTTGGACGGGAATATCCCCAATTTGTAAGAGTAGTTGAACAACTTGCAGAGAACAGGTGTTCGTTCGGGAGCACATTTCTTGAGAACAATCGGTGAGATTCCGTCGGAGCCACAAGCTTGGTGTTGAGACCGAATAAAATCTCCCTTATAGTACGTTGGCCAAAGGTGATCTCGGGCATATGACTCACAATTGACGTTATCTTTGGAGGTTGTCTTCCCGATGGATACAGGGTGGAATATCCAGCAAATAAATGCGCAAAAATGTTGGCTTTCTCCTGGGCAGTAGTTGATAGTGTTCCATCTTCCTTGGTTAGAGGAGGAAACGAGCTGGAGTTGAAGTTTCTTCCTACAGCTTTGGCAAAGGACCAAAATGAACGGGATTCGTTAGAACATTCAACAAGATTTGATCTCATTTTGGCATTATGAGCATCCTTTAATGTTCGAATTGTCTCATTGCATATGCCTCTAGCCTCGACATATTCTAACTCGATCCTCTTGGTGCGTAATATGCGCTTTACAACTCTTGTTAAGTGATATACTATTATACATACTCCATTTCAGTCCGATGAATTTGTTATTGCGGTATCAGGTACGGAAATAGAAAATTCATAGAACTAGTCCGGTAGAGATTGTTTCCAGGTGAGCCATCACCACATGTTTGTTCACAATTTCAACCAATAGCTGTCCAATTTCCACTGACAAAATAACTCCATTCTCTATTGAATAATTACTCACACTTGTTGTTTGTATACGGTATGAAATAAAATGTTGCACGTCAAATTTTTTTGAGTACACGTTTCGAAATTTCATACTTGGTCGATCGCCTCATCTGGAATATGATAGTCTAAGAGCTGACAACAAATTTCATTGTCCGGTTAATAGATCGATATGTCCTACATTATTGTACTGCCGTAACATCATGAAAAGCTGATCAGGATGTCTGGCAGGTTTTCAGTGGTGGAGGCAACCATCATCAGTGGCCGTAAACGGTTGAAAAAAAAACGATGTGACGTACGAATAATGAGGTGCTGAATTTTTGTGGAGTTGTAGCTGAATATGTTTGCTTCACGATGGAAATTATGCCAGACTCATTGAGTGGTGGAATTATTTAAGAAAAACCTGTTCTCAATTTTATTTTGGAATGCACCAGCAAAATTGCTACACTAACGTTCCTTGTTTTCTGTATTCGACTCCACGATTGCTAATAAGTTATTCTCTTTTTCCTTGAAAAACTGATTTTGTTGAGTTCCTCGTAGAGTCCTTTGAAATAATTCATTGTGATTTTCATCTGACATTGGAATGAAACAAATCCACACGAGAAAAGACCAAGATGTGTTTAATTTTTTTCTGCGAAATCAGTTCGAAATATTGCGCTTCGCGATATGAATCGATTTTGTTATCGGAAGGAAAAAAATCATTTTTGCATTTAATCCTAACTCATCAGAGAAACAGGCGGTAGTGAATACCAAACGTTTAGTAAAATAAGCGTCAGTTACTTCATTCATCCAATAATACCACGACAATATTGTATCATACTATACCTTCTATAAGTATCTTACTATTTTGTAGTGGTAATATTTGATATGTATATAGTATTATACAATTTTGTAGTGGTATCATTTGACGAATGAAGTGAATGGCGCCCATTTTACTAAACGTTTGGTATTTACTACCGACTATTTGTTTCAGTGTAACAATTTCAATATTCATAGAAGTGAAATACGTATTTTTCGAAATGTTTCAATAATTTTGCAATGCATTTTTTCAAGAATATCGTTGAAACAACTCAATTTCTTCTGATTAAGGATGCGTTAGTCAAGTTCTTATTTCTATCATTGACTGTCCTGTCTGGGAAGCTAGGAAATTTATTTGAATTAATAATCCCAAGTTCTAATTCTTTATTTGAGGTAAAATAATTTGACTTATGAATGAAATAATATACAATATATTGAATAACGATAACTGAAAACCTATAATCCAAGTTTCATGAAGCAGTTAAGCTTCTGAGCTTGTTGGGGTATACAAAACTGGAGAAACCTTCTCTTTGGCATTTCCTGCGTTCGCCAATTGTTCGTAAATGTGCTGCCTTCTTTCTGACCTCGCTACTTCAATTTGTGTCTTCAATCTTCTCACTGATTTTGCCAGGAGATTCGCGAAGATGATGCCAAGAACCTAAATGATAGAGATATGAGTTTCGGTGTGATGTGCTCTCGAGAATGATGTTCGTATCGAAATAATCATCTAATTTGTGCGACATTTATTATCCTGGGACCTCGCATCAGAGATGTATAGAAATTAAACTGGTGCGCTTGCTCCCTATTGAAGGTCGTTTGCAAGTTTCTCGATGGCACCTACTCTGATAAACCTTTGATAAACATACTTGACGTGGGTAAATCTCGCTAAGCTCATCCTGGTTACAATCCATATTTACAGGAAACATATTACCGACCGATAAATATTTGGGTACGTATATGATTTGGATCAGATCAGTGAACTGATTCCTGATCAAAGGATCGAAACGTCAATATGTCAAAATATTCATGAGCTGAAAAAATTGTTATTTCCGAGATTGAGGTCAAGTGTTCGTTAGGGACGTGTTCCGTAGTTTCTAAATTTTGTGTATAATACCTAATCCACCATAGAAAAAAAAATCTCTGTTTTACAACAGTATTATTTCAGTGATTTGAAATATTAGCGTGAACTGTTGTGAATAAATTCTGAGGTGAGTACCAGTTATTATATCTGCCTATTATGATTTTCGATATTGGTCTATTTCAATAGTTGATACATTCTTCGTTCTGGTTCTTCAAAGAGGGAATTCATCAGATTACATGCTTCAAAAAGGTTCATGTTATGGAAGAAGTGAAGCTTATTAAAATCGGCTGCAAAAAAGATTTCTTGCTTTTATTTAAAATTGAAATTTGAATGAAAATGTTGAGCACAGTATTCATTCGACCACAGAACAATGATGGAAATAGACTCATCCCTCACAGAACCAAGGTTTTGAACGATTTTCCGATTATGGCGCCTCTATCGCAAATACCTGAACCCCAAGTCCAAAACTCGCTTGCAATCGTTCCATATCGAGAGTTAGTCTGACGAAACAATTGAAGAGTGAGCCCACCAGTTGAATTTCTATACATCTCTCTCGCATTCATTAGAATGGTCGTTTGTAATTTGTTTCCTAATTTAGACATGTATTTGGATACTTTTCAAAACTGACGGAAGTTTTGAATCGTCTTACGCCACGTTCCCAGTTGTATGAAGTGGAATATTACATAATAGTAGGAGAGGCAAAGAGGCTGAATAGAGATTTACTCGAGCGTCGTGGGGACGTATCAGATTGTGAAGATTAGATGCGAAAATGAAAAAAAAGTGTATATGATATGTGACCATTTACTGGTGGAAAGAGCGTGCACATGTGTTCAAAAATGTAAAAAAAAAACAGTCACATAGAAATACCCGAGGGCATCAGATGTTTCTCATAATCGAAATATATTAATCTGCCGGTTTGTTCGGTGGTGGGGGTGGCCGTACGAAGGGATAAAGGTGAAAAAATATTATTCGAGCCAGTCAGATATTGGTAAGGGACGTTAAGTGAACCCTCAAGTAGCTCCTATTCAAAAGACTGACGATTTGGACGCGACCAAAAATCATGATAAATTTTTGAAAATAAAATAAAAATCGTGACCTTGAAATACTCGAGCGCTTCAGATTATTATACAGACGCTTCATCTTGAGTCGTATCGACTCATCATCTGACAATTATGTAGAGGAATTACCTCAATCTGACGGTTGGTTTTTGTTTTGTTAACTGAATGTATTAACTAAAATATGAAATACGCAGGGTGCGTCAGTTTTTTTTAGCTGGACTCCAACAGCTCAAGGAATTCACAATTCTGAGATAGAAGGCTCTTGTAGACATACAAGGTGGACGAATAGTGTGGCAAAGTGAGATAACGGCTTTGCTATTTGAGATTGAGGAACAAAAATTCTTGAGATGTTTTATTTCCACAAGATACACAATTCGAACTATTGTCATTCATTTTTGTAATATGAAACTTACTGCACTGAATTCGATAAACTTTTTTCTACAAATGTCAAAAAATGACAAGGTTCAAGCATTGATTAGAATATACGGAGTAATACTTTTTTTTTTCAGTTTCCTACGTTACCACAATTACATACATAGTTTCCAGTGGCTGCAAACACCACATTTAATGATTTTTTGCTACTTGGGCTTGTGCAAATCGGCAGATTATGTTATTTCCGTGATCTGTGACTAATTGCCTTCAAACGAGAAGAAATTTTACCGCGCTCGAGAACGTACAGGTGACAATTGTTTTTGCTACTTCGTGGCTCTCCCATTTCCTTATGTCACACTCAAATTTTTTCTGCATGTAATTAACGTACCATGATGTTATCTTAATCTGACGCGGTCGAATATTCTGACGATCGTTTTTTTTACCAATCTGATCGGCTGCCCTAAATTCTCGACACCGTATTAAGATCCCAGGTATGGTGGGAGTACTTCACAAGGTCCAAGGATACCCTCCCTTATGGTAATCGGCCGCGCTCGAGTAAATCCCGAAATCCCCGCTTAGGCTTCCCTACTATAACTGATGATTAACCCTTCACTGCATAGTGTTGTAAATATACAACATATTCAATCTGATATCTTGCAACTCAACAAATTGATGGGTATTGATATCTCGCATGCTGTTGTGATTCTGAATCATACCAGTCATGCAGGAAATGCAACAAAGATTCTGCAGGTGGCGCTATATTAGCCATTTATTCACAACTGACGACTTTGTTGTTCATATGCATTGGACTACCGTGATTCAAAGTTTGTTTACTGAGCAAAAAAAGAGAGTTTCTGGAAAATATAAACATGAGTTCACTCAGACAGTGAGTAATATGGTGTACAGATTATATTCGATTTACCAAATGACTCATTTATTCTAAAGTATATTATTTGTTGTTTGAGATTGGCAATATAAAAGAAATCATTCAAAGAGACTACTCAAATCACCTACCTAAAGTGCTTTTTCTTCAAATTATTCATTTGGAAGTATTTTTCATGACAGAAGACTGAATATAAAGTCTTATATCTATCTGACCTATTTATTCGAGATTGGCAATAATGTGACATATATTGTTGATTATTTGTGCAATATGAATTTTTCATTGTTATTTTGAAAACACTTAGTGAAAACTGAAATAGATCGACTGAAGAAAAATTTATTTTATGAAGAGTTGACATTCTGTGTAGTGGTGAGGCTATTCCTAAATTTGTGCTACGAAATGGAACTGAAAATAGCTCGGTTTGTCTAAGGCTACGTGGAGAAACATGCAATGAGATATTTGATAATGAATTAGGAGCATCTACTACATTGTTCAGAACTTTAAATAACGGTATACTGCGGACACCAGGTAACGGTTGCAAAATTGATTTCGTTGTACACATAAGAATAAAATAATACTTCCATTGTATGAAACGAATTGAAATGTCTACATTGTCTTATGATGAACCGTAATGTTTCATCACTATTTGAAACATCATAGTCGATATGAGCCCAGAAAGTAATTTTCTTTGATTTGATTCACCAGTTCCAATATGGTGTAGTTGAGATTGTAATTATAAGAAAATGTAGTACGACTCATTCTCCCCTGTCCTAGGTAAAGTTCGTAATTCATTTTTCATTTCATTTTTACTTCATTGAAAATCGAATAGGACCATAAAATGCGGTTATTTCTGTCAGTTTTTGAATATATTCTGACAAGTAACTCTTCACATATATGTATATCGATAAAATAGAATAAAAAACATTTTTCTGCAACCGACACAAAAGTCGTCCATTTTGATACCAAAATTAGCTCTTAAATTGACGTTTCTATTACTGACACAAAAATAGGTATGTTGCTAGGCAACATATTTAGTTCCTAGGAGCTAAAGTTGATTTTTAGTTCCTAGGAGCTAAAGTTCAACTTTAGCTCCTAGGAACTAAAAATGATGTACTGGACGTCATCAATAATAAACAACATTGTGACGGTTGGTTATTTGGGTTGAGACGCATACCTGATTTGTTTCCGATTTCAGCAGATTTGGCATTTCATACCCACGCTGGAGATATAAATACACCTTATTATAGTTTAGTATTGGAATTATAAACATCTCAGCTGAGTATTTTTGTTTGATCAGGGAAGCCTTCAAGATTCAAATACTTGCTTGATCCTGTATTTCATTCGTTATTCTCGGGATGGATAACTTGTTTTTGAATAATCACGGCAAGCAATAGTTTTTTTGTCTTAAACAACGATGTTATTTAGCTTCATTTGATTATCAAGTCAAACACAGTGTAGTATGGAGAGGAATAAATAATCACTACTATCATTGTTGATATGCTCACTAGCCTAACATTTTCCACGTCTTGTTCCTATAGCTGGCACTGGCGCGGTATTTGCCATTAGAGCACCTGGTCCATACACAAATATGTCTTTCTGTGGTTGTATTTATATTGAAACTACAACTCGAACATCCTTGAAAATCTAACCTGCTGTTAATGCAGGTAGAATATTCTTACCACATGGATTATTTGTCAATATTTGTTGCATTGCATACATATGGCACGGCATTGGTGGTTACTTCACATGTTTATTTGAGTTAATTGTTTCGGTTGCAGAAAAAATAGCATGTTTCATTCGGATCAAAAGTGACTTTGTTCGACTCGCAAATTTTGCTTACGCTCGGCTTCGCTAAACGCTCCGCCTCGCAAATGCAAAATTCGCTTGTCAAACAAAGTGTCACTTTTGATCCTAATAAAACAATCTACTATTTTGTTGGGTAACGATATTTGCAATCAGGCAAAAAAAGATGAGAGATTATCACACGTTATTGACACTGATAATTCTGACAATAATGGATTCAAGGAGGATTCGGAAGACGAAGAGGTGAGCTTGAATGATTTGTTTGAATATACCGAAAAGAAATTAATATTTTCATCACGTAAAGAATGCGATTTCTTGATGTGTTTCATGAAGTCGATAAAAATATCTCATGATATTCGTTCTTAATACTTTTGAAAGCTTTTAACATTCTTCATAATGTAACGTATCATTAAGCGAGGAAGGAGACTTTTTTAAATCCTCCCTGTACACAAAGTAACTTTTCTCGATATGTTTCCATCCTACTCCAATCTTTCCCTCTCAAAAGTATTTTTTTTTTCAATTCACCGCCATACCATTGGTCATGTGATATTTTATTATGTCATAATCGATTTTTAGGTTATAGGTTATGCCTATATAACCTTTGATAATCAAGGCTACAACAGATCTCTGAGAAAAATATTTTCGATACCTACTCTAATAATGAACTTTTCCCCCATTTGTTACGTATAATTCATGAATGACACTGAATTTGGATGAAAAAATGATCCTTTTCAATTTATGAGAGTTGTGTTTCACTTTATTGTAGGATACAGCTGATGACTGCACGTCAAGCTATCTTGGGATGATTCCAATGATATCCGTGATGGTTTAAAAACTTAGGAAAAAGAGGAGAGGCAGTTTACCTGTATGAACGCAATGCAAATTGCCCCAATTCCTAGGAGAAGAGCACATTCGTTTACGATGAAGGTTATACCACGTAAGCAACCATCAGTGTAAACGCTATTCTGGTTTTTGCACTCTTCATTGTAACAGCATGTGGTCGGAACGTTGTAAGCAACATTCATTGTATTATTAGCAGTTTGAATTACAACTGTTGCATTAGCAGAACTATTTCCAACATCGTCGAATCGTGTGTCTAATAAGAGTCTTGGTACTGGTATCAAATTGTAGGAAGCACTGTTGTACTGCTCCCAATCCTCAGGTCCATCAACACCACAGCAATGCAACTGAAATCGAAACCGATGAATGTGTTATCATTTTCATATTATTTGAAGCCTTCTCGGAATATTGATAGTCACACTTTGTGTTATTTCAATGTTTATTGAAAATATTAACGTATTTTACTTTTTAGATTCATCAGCCCCCTAATCCCCCTAACCCTGGATCATACCTTGAAATTGAAAAGAAATTATTGAAAAAACAATGAATTCTTCACATTCATTTTCTCATAGAAAATAGGTTGACATGAAAAAAAAGAATGATACACCAGGCGACCCGGAACCAATTAACCCCCCGGTATCTTTGTTGCTATTTTGTATGGATGTTTCAAGTTTAGTATATCGATTCAGTTTCCGGTTTGACCGGAAGTGCATCAGACTTTTCATATAAGTATACATGAGTATATTATGAAAAAACAAATGAGAGGAGGGGGGTATACAATGAGTCGGTGTCACCTGGTACACACACTGACTGAATGGCGAATCCAAGGTAGGGTTGAGGGGGTAATTATACCACCCTCAAAGCCTCGTAGTAGTATTGATAGTCGCCATTCGCGTTATTTCATATTGGAAATATATTCGTTAGTATTTCACTTTTTTTATTCATTAGGTACATCCCCGCCCCCACCCCTACTATATTAATTTTCATTTTCATGATCCCCCTTTCCCCAACCAGCACCCTGGATCCGCCACTATCTCCCATTGGAAATTGTGTGAAACTATTCAAGTATATCAAAGTGAGTATGCGAAAACAACCGTCAAATTAAGTTCATTTGACACCGGTGCAGAATACTGATTTATCGAAAAATTTCAACAGTGGTTGAAATTAGGCAGAAATTCGGATCAATTTTGTTTGGATCCTGTTGCAACATTGCTACATTGAAACATTAATGAACATAAGATATTACAATAACTTCAACGTAATTTTTTCGGAGGCATTTTATTTTCGTTTTTTCAGGCGACAAAATTCTTATTGTACACTGTCGAGCGAGCTGTCAAGTTTGCTTCGATAAAAAACTCTCATGTATATAATTTAATTAATAACTATTATAGTTATTTATGTATCAAGGGCGTAAAGAAGGCGTTTATGGCCTGTGGCGTGAATAATGGCCCGATGGCGCTAGCCGAAGGCCATAAACGCATTTCACGCACGAGATACATACAAAATTTTATGGACTAGTGGTTTATTTTCTGACTCATAAATAATGACTATAGATTTCGATAAACTAATATTCCCCAGAATTCTTCAGAATTTTACAATATGCATACCCAGTATATAAACCTAATTTTGACGTTGTCAATCAATCTGATGGTTGTTGTCTATAGCAATACATCCAATAAACGAGCTGAATTGTCATTTTTTGATTGAAAAGTAAAATCAGTGATAATAATAATAGCGAGACTATGGAATCGGATGAAGAAGAAGTTTATGAACTACTGCTGGATATATCAGAATCTAGGAATATGATCATAGGTTTTTCATAAATTGATATGTGGATATAAGGTGACTGAGAACAGCGAACGGTAAAGTGAACTTTACGGCCCGCTAGTGCATAAATCAATTATAAGAGGTAAAACGATACCTACCGTGAAACCATGTCAACCATTGAAGGCGTTTATGTAAAGTTATCTCAATCTGGCGTTGTCAGAAACGTATCTAATCGATGGAAATATCGTTCCTTTTTCGGAGTTATTTCAATTTCCAGGTAATAAAATTTTCATTGAAATGTCAAGCCTACTTCGATAAAAAAACTCTTATTGTGTAATAAATACAAGTGGAAAACCTGTTCTCAACTCGCTCAATATTGCTTATGTTCTGACTAGTTCTGAGATAGTTTGGGCAGTTATCAGCTGAACAGGAAGCAATATATATATATATATATATATAGATAGAACATGGTATTCACTACTGATAATGAATTTCCAAAAAAGTTGACAAAACTGTATGAATGTTTTTGCTGGATATGGGTGAGTCGATTGAAAAATAAACAACATTTTCAACGGCAGTATCAGTGAATCTTCTTTATTTTATGCTTGAAATTTTCATTTCCATCAATGGCCGACATCTGTTTGTAGTAAATATGGCGCAAAATATACTTATAACCAATATTATTAATGCTCAATGGAAACCTTTAGGTAATGATAAGGCATTTTATGAGACGATTTCCTCCTGTTGAAGTACTTACTCATTGCATATTTAAATCCATTCTTTTGACTATTTGTTCCTGGGTATGACAACAAAGCTTCGAAAATGATAAAATTGTTATAAGAAGGATAATATAAGATAATGTCTTCAAGAATAACCTGGCTAGTGCTCATTGGGCAGTGCGGCATATAGTAGAAGAACGTCATCAACATGATCAACATAACCCTACTTTTGTTATTTACAGTATTCAGTTTGTGAATTTTGTGATTGGTTTTGAGTAGGAAACCTATAAGGAAACATAGACAATCTACACTCAGTGCAGTTCGCCTGATATTGTGTTGAATTGGATGCTCCATTCTCGTAAATTCTTGCAAAACTCGCTATCTGACATAATTTGTGCATTTTCCTCGCTTTCTGGTTCCCATTCAGATATATCAGAAGTAATTTCCATCACCTACGTTCTGACTCGTTGATGGTACTTCATGAACATCAGGTTCTAATGAATTCTTGCTATTTGGTGGTTTCAGTTGGGATGAATTGAAAGAGGCAGTGTTTGGAATTGCTTGGGCTTGAGAATTTCGATTTACTGTTGCTCTCACGACTTGATGTTTGATTCACAAGTGATTCCCTTCATTTTTCCACTTAGAGTTGCCATTTTTCTTGATTTGACACCATTCATTTTCTTGTGAGTTCATTTCAACGTGAGTCGTTGTGGGCAAGAAATTATGAACATTTATATTATGAGATTTGGGTTCAACATAGTTTTATAAAAAACTTGATAAATCCTTCAGATTTTATGATTGACTTCGATGAATTCATTGTATCTCATAGGTTTCAATAATTACTTCCACATATATGGAATTATGCCATTAGGTTTCGTTATTGCCTTAGTCAAATCCTACTTGGCCTAGTGTAAAGTTGGTTTTATGTTTGCTTTATGGGGTATTCTCATATAGGATTAGCTTAAAACCTCTTGGTCAAATTCGAGACACTAATGAAACTTGAGTGTTTTAAGAGGGTTATTGGAAGTGAATAGTTTTGATAAAGAATTTCAATGACTCTCACAGAGCTCTCTTAAAAACCGAAGTGAGCTGAATGCCAAATTGTTTTATGCGATAGTTCTATCATGGTATCTCAAAACCTTTGAATAGGATTATATGGACATGAAGGCCAATTTGCTTTCTCCGGGGCATTCATAAAACGGTAGAACAAATCAGACCTACTATTTGCGCTCACATAACCTCTTCGAAGTCTCATCGAAGCTATTAGGCATTCAAAATGTTACTTGGGGGTGTTGGTGGTGAAGAGGGGGCAGGTGCTGCTGTTAGTGGTGGTGCTAGTGTTGTTGTTACTCGAGGTGATTACTTACGTTATATTGTGTGGCATCCCATACATAATTAGTATATGAGTTGTAAAATTCCATAGACTCTCTCATCTCCCGTCTGACAGTTGTCGTGAGATTATATCTCATGGAGGAAGCTACAATACTCACAGCTACCTCCAAAATCAGTATCAGGAACAGGAATAAAGCGTACTGGAACAAAGAAATGTGGAAAGAAAAATATTAACAATTCACACAATGATTATCGACTGGATAGATGGAAGAATCAAGCTGCAAATCACGGCTTGCACTGATGGAAATGTATTGTTTAGCAAATTCATATTCGAAAATCATGAAACTGCTTTTTGAAAAATTCGTCAAAACGTCAAACGGACATGTTTTTCAAGACATATCTCTTTTTTTTCTAGAGATATCATACCATCCAGATTCGATATCGGACAAGTTGGGAAAAAAAAAGAACGGTGCCTCTGGAATATATAATTTCAGTCGAACCATGATGAACCTTGAGTCAAACGGTTCATTGTCATCCCCAAACCGGTGAGATTCAATTCGAGAACCATTTTACCATCACCACCTCGTCATTTCCATCTCTGTTATACACGTATATTCAAAGATGCTTCATCCCCGCTTACCGTCATCTTTCGAGTGACACGACCAATATCCATTCTTCATTATGAACATGCATTCAAGTTAGTTTTTATCATGTTCTGGTTCCTGTAATGTCCAGAGAACATCGTGAGAATCAAGAGAAATGAGGTAGGAATTGGTGTTCTTCTCAAGTATCTGGAGGTTGAATGCCTCGGGGACACCTCCCTTGGCAATGTGTTCCAGAGCCTCGCTCTTTGTTGGATGAACGAGTCTTTGGAAAGAGGTGTTCTGCAGGTCTCCAAAGTGACCACGAAGGGATGCGAAGTCTCAACTCTATGGGTTAATCGCGCGGGGACTGCCAAAGTAGGAACATTTGTTGATATTTCAGAAGAGCATCGTTCATGAAGATATCTATGGAATAGAGCCAGATCGCCAACTTTTCTACGGTGTTCCAGAAGAGTGAGAGAGTTTGTGAGCGAGGCATCAATCACGAGAGGAATTGCCCTATTTTGGAAATCCAACAGTTTCAGGGTATGTTTGGGTGCTGCACTCCAAATATGGAAACAGTATTTCAGGACAGGTCGGATCTGTGCATTATAGATCATAAGGAGCTGGCAGGAAGTGAAATAGCTCCTGGCCCGAAACAGAAAATCAAGTTTTTGGGATGCACTTCGAGCAATTGATCTCACGTGATTTTCCCAAGAAAGGTTATTGCTGATAGTGATACCAAGCATCGAAATTGATGTCTTCAAAGGTATGGTTACTCCTGACAAGCTTATGTAAGGCACAGTGGGATCGGCTTTTCAAGAAAAAAGGCATGCTTGTGTTTTGTTTGCATTGATATCTACCAAGTTATTGGATAGCCATGGAAGTCCATATTTATGTTGTCAACATTTCTACCTCGTTTGTTTCTGATTTGCCAGGATGCATTGGAGTCATGATGGTTTTGGCTTCTTGTCCAAAAGCTTCCTCATCTAGTGTGATTCAATATCATTGAAGAAATGAAGTGATTAACAAAACTTTCAAAAGTATTGAAGACATTCTATTCCATATATCAACTAGTGGGCGTTGAACTGAATGTTGGGACGTTATAGTCACGTTTTCTTTCCACATGTCGAATATGTGCAAAATATTTCCAATGTGATTTTTTTTCAGGTATACAGACATTATTCATACATACTCAATAACTGAGTCATAACTTGAGAATGAATGACTGCTGGTTGATTTCGGATATCATTTTTTTTTCGCCAGTCTCTCTCCCTATTAATTTTGAGTAAGTAGTAGTTAGTAGTTTTATTTCTATTGGCTTCAGAGCTTCTTCACATATTGCTATATATTTTATTTTTTGAATATAATCATCACTCAAAAACCTGTCAATTTCATATTCATTCAGAGTTTTTTGGTCGATTTTATGGTTCTAAAATCATCAAAAATGCCACGGTGATTTTAAAACAGCTAGAAATTTACCGCGAGTGAGAACTGACGTCTCGATTTGTTAAGTAAAGGCAGATCATGGCATAGTTGCCATTTGTTGAAATACGATTTGGAACTTTATGTGTCTTGTCAGTTCTCAAAATTCAGCACAATGTTGCCAAGTCCTCAACAGTCACATAATAATTTGTTATGGGATACAAGAAATATTTGGACATGCTGGTTGCTTGAAAAAGTCGAGAATGAACTATTATATTATGGCTTCCTCCTATTATGTTTCCCAACCTTTTCAATACTTTCACCCAATCAAGGGGTTCAAACTTGAACGATGGAAACTTGTTATTTTCATACACCTCAATCGCAGATTCGTGATTAGGTTTTTCTCAATTCAGAATTTTTTTCCACGTCCTGTATAATGAATGTCAATTTATCATACATTCAAAAAAACAATGCCCAAATGACAGGAGTATGTCAACAAATCATAATAACTCTCAGATGTCAGTCCGTTATAGTTTTAGTTATATTATATGGAGATGAAAATTGTGTATATCATGAAGAAATGGCTGCAAGAATAACTGGACTTCAGGTTACTGATGAGGATATGATATCCAGAATGAATTCATATAACCTGTTTCTGAGAGATATAATTCCCATATCACTGATACGAATGATTTTTTTGAAAGTTCCAAGTTCATCAAGATCAGAGTTCATACAAGTATACTTTTCCTATTGATTCCATTTTCATTTCAATACTGAACATATCGGTAAGTTATATTTTCATATCATAATGGATGGAGTGTAAAAAACGAACTCCCATTTAATATTTCCAAATGTATCGTACTATCTTGTAGCCGAAAATTATCTAAAATATTATACGATTACTCGATGAACGACATGCAGTTATCCAGAGTAGAGACTGTTAAAGATTTGGGTCTATATTATAACTCCGCACTCTCGTATGAACCACATTTGAATCATATCGCATCGCAGGCACTACGGACTATGGGCTTTGTAATGAGACAAAGTGCACATTTCAATGACACCAAAGCAATAACTGCACTTTATAATACTCTAGTAAGACCTAAACTTGAATATGGCGCTGCAATCTGGCATCCCTCTCAGCTAATCAACAAAAATATTTTGGAAAAAATTCAAAACAGATTTCTGAGATATCTGTATTATGAAAAATATAAAGTTTACCCGGAATATAAAATAGTTAGAACAGTTGCACTTAGAAGTGAATTTGAAATACCCAGTCTAGAAAATAGAAGACAAGCAATTATAGTCACAATGTGTTATAAAATCTACAAAAAATACTATAACTGCCCCTATCTCCGATCAGTATTGAAAAGAAGATCTCCCAATCGATTGACCCGGCTTGTACAATTCTTTGATGTTCCATTTGTATCAACTAATAACTGTTCACCCATTATAACAATGATAAAATTAACAAACAACTTCCTACTATTGTCAGAAGTCAGCTTTGTTCTCCCTCCCTCAAAATTTTATTATGGTATGAAAACATATTTTTCTAATTTAGAATAAACAGTTTTTAAAGTGTGTTCGCGCCATCAGTGATTTGAAATGATCATTTCAATTTTCAATTATTGTAGTTAGTAGAATATTTGCAATGATATACTCTAAGACTGTTATCATATAGATATTGTTATATACATTATGATTTTCATGTAATAAGGTTTTTTACCTGTTTGAGAATAAATAAATGAATAAATAAATAAATAAATAAATAATACATCATATCATTCTATTCGATTTGAGAGATGATGTCAATTCTCAATTTCAGAGGATTTCAATTCTTCATGCTCTGTTTTTGGATATTCAACAGATATAATTCAATGTTCGTCGTGGCATATACTGCCCTCCTAACTAAGAGAGCAGTATGTCACAATTTGCAAGTTTCGAGAAAATGCGTATTGAAGTATTTATTACTGTGCCACCTTCTAAATATTAGTTTATTCTGAATTGAGTTCAGCATATCGATATGTTTTATTGTATATGTGATCAGTTCAGTGTCATTATATATTTTTTTTGTTGAAAAACAAGTAAATTGGCGTTTATTGCTTTTTAGTTAAGTAGGTATTTTACCACCTATTTTCATATTCAGCTAAACTATAAAGCAGTAAAGACCATCTTTTGGTGATAACTGCTTGATAGTGTACTATCTTTCCAAAAAATGGGGCGAATGTTCGAATAGATTATTTTGCTTAAACTGTTGATGAAAGAAGTAACTTTCAACACGAATATAAACACTTTGTGTTTGGGAGTATCACATAACCTAAAACACATTCCCATTGGGAGATACATAAAACAATGAAGGAAAGGCTTCTCAACAACAAAACGTTTTGAAACAATCAAGTTTAGTCTGGATTCCTGCTAGACTAAAGAGCAGTATATCCAAATTTTGGTAGGATATACTGCATTATAAGCTCGTACATGGTTATTACTGCGTTTTAGCGTACAAAATGATGATGAATTGTGTACTTACTGCACAGTGCATATGTTTTTTCTTGTTGATCTATATTTTTTACTGCTTTTTAGCTTTGTAGTATGATAGATATAGTCAAGATGAATCTACAGAGTCCATTTACTGCAAACAGAATAAAAGTGGAGATACTGCTCTTTAGGTTAGGACGGCAGTATAGGTAGCCAGGAAAGTAGTTGTTTTCTGTGGAATAAACCGAGAAACAGAGATGGGCCGGGTACTGATAAATTGTACTCGAGTACCAGGAACCGGGTACTTTATAATTGAAGAACGAGTACAGAGTACCGAGTACCCCACTCATTGGATGTACTCAGAGTAAAGTACTCCGAGTACAAGTACCCGAATTTCACGGGTACTCATTTCAAGTACATTTGAATAGAGAATTGAGAAATTCTGCATCAGTATTAGTACCCATATTCATTAAACAAAACAACTTAATTTGCAATACTATACCCTTACCTCTTAGTTTAGTGTGGTTGAGTCTTAAGAAAACAACAGAAACGATACAAAAAACACTTGACTCTATAACTGTTACACAGTTACGCGTTTGGTTCTGATTGAAGTGCTGACTGATAATGATGATATAACATATAACAGCGGTTTCCTGGGTTGCACTCGCATATGCAGAGACAAGTTTATTCTTGCAAAAAGTACCCGGAAAATGTACTCG